TTAGAGAAATCGAGTGGCAAAAATGTTGGGAAAATGGTGTATAAGTTGCATGAATCTAGTCTAGATTCTGGATATGACATAATATTGATGTATAGTTTCAAATCGTGCTCAATAGTCATGAAAGATCGATCATTGGTTCTTGGAGGAGCTACTATAATCACTTATTTACAACAAGCAAAAGGGACGAAAATGAAGCCTTTTAATGTAGTAGATGAAACTATGAAGATTATCTCATACGTAGATGATGAAATAGAATGGACACCAAGGATTAAGGGTGTGGATTGAACTTTGAAGATGACCTTATATGTGGATAATAAAATACACTAGACACCAAAGATTAATGGAGTGGATTGAACTTCATATGGCCATGGAGGTCACCTTGATTCAATATGAAGAAGGAAGAACACTAAGAGGAGTGAGGTGTGGGTCTTCTTGCTCACTCTCTCTCTTTCTCTCTAAAAAAATGAGTTGGGTTATTAGAAATGAAGCTAAGTGATGATATTTATATTTAAGTGGTTGTGTGACTTCATAAGTGGTTGGATTTTAGCCCTTAATACTTATCATCGAAGGCACATGAGATGGAAATGATCCTAATTACACATCCCCATTTAGCCACTAAGATGTAGAGATGTGATTTCACACTATTATTACTCTATTAGATTCTTGATTTTTCCTATTTACCTCATTGTCCATAAGTCTTAAATAACTCTCTGAGCCATTTTAACGTACCAAAATTTTGCATCTTTAAGCTTTGAAAATAAAGAATAATCAAGTGATAGGGAATTGCCTCTCATGGTCTTTTGAAATTCTCATTTTGTTTAATACTCTTAAAACAAAAAATCCACGTGGCTCATCCAACCAAGTTGTGCCATTGTGTAAAAATCACATTGGTCCAACAAATGATATTATGCCGCATGTAGGTTAATCAAGGTTACCGTTTAAGCCAAATTATTAAGCCTACCCTTAACCCTAGGACCAATGCCACACAATTAAGCATGTGATTAATACTATTTATTTAAATTAGAACAATAATTTTATTTCAAACTTTATATTAGATTCAAAACAACTTTAGAAATGCCACAAAGAGGACAACCACCTAGGGATGTGAAGATGATGTCAGCACACCTAGGCTGACATGGGGCACCACGTGTCACCCTTGGCCGTGGGGTGTGAGGGCCCCACTAAAAAAAATCTTTATTTGGAATTACCCCGAACAATTTTAATAATCTCAATTTTTAGTTCAAAAAAATTATAAAAAATCTCAAAAATTCTCAAAATCTTTTCAAATCATTTTCCACTAAAATTACTCAATCAGGCCTCAAATTTCCAAATCTTGTATTGGAGTACTCAACTCAACTAGTCAGAATGATGGTCTATTCTCTTAGCATGCATTAATGCTTCTTAGTTGGATCATAACACATCAGAAAAGTAAATTTCTGTACAACTGTGAGGGTACATACCACAAGGTAGTCTAGTGTCAGGGTTTCAACTCATGTCCTTTGAGTCATGGCCATCTATACAGAGCAACTACTCTTATCTCTTTTTTTGTTTTCCTAGTCTTGGTCTAATAAACATTCCATGAGGCATAGTTTCTTAGTATATCCCTAATTAGATGTGACCCTCATGCCTCCAAAATCAGTCTCTTATCCGAAAAAAACCAAAACTTAAAAATCTGGCGATCCAAATTGGATTCTTCCGATCTAGATCTAAGAAGCGTCGACAATGTTCCAAATCCCGCCATATATCGGGATCCAGACGATCTTCTCCACAAAACCCTTGGAACCGGACGGTTCAAGCTAGTCTTCTGATAAAACCGGTCAGTTTATCAAAGAACTAGACGGTTCATATGTCCTCTGATAAAACCGGTCAGTTTATCAAAGAACTAGACGGTTCATATGTGAACTAGTTAAAAAATTTGGAAATTTCTTTAAAGAAGGAGGAGGTAGGAGGGTCCAACCATACTCTAATTTATTTATTTATTATGCCTTTAATATTTCTTCTCTATTTTGATATTTGTTTGAAAAGTTTTTAATTAGTAAATGGCCCCACCCTCATTAATTGATGGCACAACAACATGCTTAACCACACAACCCCCCACATGCTCATTTACACCTTTTTGCAAAACTTAGAAGGACTTGAATCAAGTTTTAAAAAATGAACAGTGTTTCTACTCATAGACTCATCACCGTCCGAAAAAATCAGACGGTGTGGATAAAACGACCGCCACAGACCTAACATGTCCATGACAGTACCGTCACGGACATGCTAGGTCTGTGACGGTTAAAAATTTACGCGACATCCACCATGGACCACGCACCATCCATTGTGGGTTCGTTCAATAAACTGTCATGGATATAGCATGTCCATGGTGGGGCAAAACACTATTCAATTTCACCTATAAATGTTTTAAGAGTTTTCCATAGGAGTCTAAATTCCATTGGTAATAAAAAAAAAAGTGGCAGCTTTTGTCTTCAGTGGTCATAGCCCTTTTGTACATATAGGTTCTTTCCTTTTAAAACCCTGCGCAGCCTTATCAAAAGATATTATACTCCTTCGAGAGTATACTGTTCATTTACTTCCTTATGTAAAATTGTAGCTAGGATTAAGTTAAAGGAGGCAAAATTTTGGAGATATAATGTCTTCAACTCATAGATTAACCTCAATAAAAACAAATTCTAACTGTGCCCTCTGCACACTTTTAGAAAAAAGAATTATCTCAAGATTGAATAGAGTCCATCCAATTTTAGTTGGTGAGATCTAAGTATTAAAAAACTTAAATTTCAAATTTTAATTTTTGAAAATAACTATATAGTGATAATTAGGTGGTTCTAAAAATTTTAAATTGGAAAAATCCTCTTAAGTAAGTATTTTACCGAAAGAGTAACCTTATATTACTTAAGCAGGAGGACATCCCCATTTTTTATTTAACCACAATGTATTTAATGAAATGGTAGGGTTTATCACCCAACCCATCCTATTATTGCCGGATAGAATGACAACTTAAAAAAAAAAATAAAAAAAATAAAAAAAATAAAAAAAATAAAAAAGAAAAAAAAAAGTGCCACGGGGGAAGGTATGCCTCCTAATTTTTGAAAAGTAGACAAAAAGGTGCATCTACATAAAAAATCGAGTTCGTTCGATGGTGCCTTAATATTTTAATATTTTAAGATAATATAGAATCTTATATAATTCTAATCATATGAATTTACATGCGGTCAAATCATAATTTATAATATTCAGATAATTCTCAAATATCTGAATCTCTAAATATTCAATTTATAGCTGAATTTTGCATGATTTGATTTTTACTCCTGAAATGATTGTCTCTCTCTCCCTCTTTCATTCACTCATCTCCTTCATTTGTCCCTTCCCCCTCCCCTTTTTTCTTTCCTCTCAACAAAAAGACCCAAGCCCCTCCCTTTCTGTCTTTCAATTTCAATCTCTCTCTCTCATGGTGGATCACCAAAGAAAGCATGGTGAATAGCAAGAGAAGACAACCTAACCTCTCTCTATAAACATTAGGGTTTCACTTTTATGCTCATCTGCTCTTTTTCAATCTTTGTTGAAGTTTGAGTTCTAAGTTTTAGTGGGCCGTATAGAAAATAAAGTGACCCAAAGGCCAATCATTTTCTACGACTGATGTGATCTTTCAAGATAAGAGAAACCAAAAATAAAGGTTGAGATGAAAAACTCAGTCAGATTGTGGTCGAAAACTAAGATCGGATAACCTAGAGCCATTGTTTCTCTTTCAAATATATGCAGGCAGTCAAACATGCACAAAAAAACAAAAAAAGAATATGGATAATAGATTATCGTAATATAAGGAAAACCCAGCAATGCTTTGATTCAAATATTAGAAAATCTAAATTTTAAAACTCAGTCTGTTCAAACATGAAAACCATTACGATCCTCTTGGGCGCAAAATACTTTGAGGCTTCCTTTTCCCGATGGGTTTCTAATCATTACCAAGTTAAGAGAAAAGCATGGAGAAAAGTTCACGAGAGTTCCTCACTGTAGGAAAGTGTGGACCTCACACTATTTATTTGTGACATAGACGTAATGACACTTTAACGTACTTCAAACCTGACACACGCTCTCGTACACATTGACGAGCTTGACAACAGTCATGGTCCTTTGTAGCTACAATACATACAAACAAAACTACAATAAAACACACTGAAATATGCAACATAGCATCTATGTAAATAAACACTACTCTTCAATAACCCTTTCTTGGCAAACACTCTTGTCTCCAATCCAAACGATAACCTGCAATTAAGAGAGAGAGAGAGACGTTAACACTAAGGGAAGAAAGAGAGAGGCATAGATAAGAGAAGAATTTGTTGGTTTTTGAGTGAAGATAGAGGATGAGAGGCTTACAATATTTTTTTGAGTGATTTACATATCGATCCTAAAATTTTTCTTAAAATACGAAATGCTATGTTTAATGGTAGAGCTTACAAATTTTTTTTTAAATTTTTTTTAAAATTATCCCTCGGTCTAAGGATCATCAGACCGAATTTTAAATTTTAATTTTAGTTTCCCTACTAATGAAAAAAACAATAACAAAAATTAAGTTTAGTCTGAAGATGGAATCTTAAGATCGATGAGCAATTTTGAAAAAATAAAAAGAAGTGGGTCGATCGACCTTCTTTGTAATTTCCACCTATAAATACAACATTTCGTATTTTAGGAAAATTTTGAGTCCGTAAGTAAATCACTCATATTATTTTTTAGATGAACTAAGGAGAGGCTTACATTACTTGAAGAAAATTTGATCGTACACAGGTGAATAATTTGTTGGTGTTGGTGTTTGTTGAGAGAGAAAGAGAGAGTAGATTATCCGGAGTGGAGATTATGGTACATGCATGTGTGTTGTAAAAGAGTAAGTTGTCGAGAGCTAAGTAGAGGTTTTTTGTGTGCGAAGAAGTTTATATAAGGTGTCAAACTTATACTGTAGTGTGTGAGAGACAGAGATTCGAGGTCGAGACGAACCGACCTCATGGACACTGGAACCCAGGGGGCACTGATTTCCCGCACCCAATCAGCACCTGAAGCGCGATCGGCAGAACCACATTCAGGTTCAAAGCTTTTGCCCTAATGGTGGTACACAAGCACAAGGCCGCGTCCAAATCCGCAACCCCCTGCACAAGAGGGCAGCAACCCTTCTTCACCTCCTCGCCTATCACCGCATGAGCGACCCCTCCAAGTAAATCAACACAAGCTGCAAGCTTCAAAGTATCAATGGGACAAGCCTGTGGTGTCTTTGGTGGTGGAGGAGGGCATGGCGTTTCTGTTGGTGGTGGTCGTGGTGGTGGTGGACATGGCGTCTCCACCTTTGGTGGTGGTTTGGGCATGACATAGGGTGGGGGAAAAACCTTAGGTGGGCGCTTAGGGGGTAGTTTGGGAACATAGGGTGGTTTGTAACTTGGTGGACAACTTGGGCATGAGAGTGAAGGGAGGATGGCTCCTAGTTGAATTAAGAGCAAGAGGAAAGCTATTACACCACCCTTCTCCATTGCTCTGCATGTGAAGATCATAAGCCATCTTACAAGCCCTTTTATAGACCTCCTTATCTCTCTCTCTCTCTCTCTACTTGTCTATCTCTACATAGTCTCAGACTTCCTTCTCTCTATATATGTCCCAATCTACATTTACGAATAGCAACAGGCTGGCCCAGCCCTGGCCCTTTTCCAGCCCCAGTCCCCATAGGGGGCTGGCCCAGGCCAGGGACGGCCCTAATAGGACCAATCAGGGCCACGTTTGGATAAATAAAAAGATTAAAAAGAAATAAAAAAGAAAAAGAGGGCTGGGGCAGGTTGAGTCGAGCCGGCCTTGGCCCAATGGTTGCTTAGCGTTCAGGCTGCAATTTATGGTCCAGGTTAGTGTTCATAAACTCGACTGGTCCAACTCGGAATAGGCCAGCCAAACCGGAATTGGGCACTGCTCAACTGGTTTTGGCCGGTTTTAATGACCAGCCGGTAATTAAAAAAATTCAAATATATATATATATATATATATGAATGTTTTTTAATACTTTGACAAATACTAGAAAGTGTTTCACTTTTACATTTCCCCATCTTTTTGGACAAGTTTTGAAAATACGCTTGGACACAAATTGATTTATTTAAAATTCATTTATTTCATTGCTTTTCAACTTTATTTGGATGTACTTCATTTAATCATGTTTTAAATAGACTTTCATATTTGTTTAGATTTTTTGTATATCAGTGACTCGGACCCGCCCTTGGCCGGAGGTCGGTTTGATGTTTCGAACATTAGTCCAAGCCCTACTTTTAAGGGTCGGGCCACCCGGCCATTGCCATCTTATCTAGATTGTGTGAGACATCCTTGTCTCTGTACTTTTCTCTCTCTAAATTTTGAGATAATATCGCACTTCACACTCTCTCTCTCACTACGTTCGAGATGTTACCTTCATGTTATCTTTGCACTCGGCATTGACTCGAAATAAGGCCACAGCTTTCAGTGCACCATGTCCCGTAGCTGCAAGTAGGGGGTGCCATTTTTGTTTCTCTCTCTAAATTTCAACGATCACTTTCCCTGGATTCAGGGTTTCTCTTTAAAATCCAATTTTTGCAGCTTTCTCTCTCTAAAAAATTCTATTTTTGTGGCTTGATTGGATGCAGTGTACGCGGTGCTTATTTTAACTTGATGCGAAGACTTGCGCGTGACTAGCTGCCGACGCCTCTATATAACACTGTTCATAGTTTGCAAAATGAAACATCAAATAAATAAAGTTTTGTCAATCAAATCGTGTGCATCTTTGGAGTGCTATGGGGACAAAGTGGGGCGAACTTTTTATTCTAAAATAGCTTGGCACGTGGGAATAGAATCTAAGGAGCCGACAAGGCAATACCGCGTACTCAAACCCGATACCCTAAACATAAGAGGCTCAGATCGTAGTGGTCGCACCCCACACCCTAATCACCCGATACCCTAAACATAAGAGGTTGAGATCGTAGTGGTCGCACCCCACACCTTAATCACTACAACGTGGTAGCCATTTCTACTGGTACCACCCCACTAATTCTTAAACTATTTGAAAAAACCCATAGGATTACCTATATAAAAAGAAATACCATGGGTTCAACACATGTTCACCAATTAGACCATGTCTAAAATTTTCATGGGTAAGCAACTCTTTACATGCATGTAGGCAAAGATTATGTGCGTTTGTATATTGTATATGGACAATTTGGCCTAGAGTCCTAAAAAATTATCCTAACTAGGTTTTTAAGTGAGGGAGCAATTGTACATTTGACTTGCATGGGCGCACACAATCTTTTTGATTTTGCTTTTTTGGATGATTCCAGCACCCCAAGATTCTCACTTCATTTTCCTCAAAAAAAACTAAAAACAAAAATAAATAAATAATAATAACAATAATAAAGAAGAAGCCTGACCAGTCTAGCTACCCATTTGAAATTATGGCTTTCTATGGTATATATATAATATAATGTTGCATGTAGCAATCACTAGCAACTTCCCAAGTGACATAAGAGTATCTAATGTAGGGCTACGAGTTTATATGGTATATATAATATCATGTTGCATGTGGAAGTAACTAGCATGTTTTCATGTGACATAGTATTATTTAATGTAGGGCTACTAGTTTATATGATATATATAAATGGGAAGGTTTCTATACTTCTACAACATAGAAGATCTATGCTTCTCTTACCATCCAGCCGTCCAATTTTGAACAAGAGAGCCACTCATCGTTTGATCTTAGATTCGACGTCTCCAAGTATTTTATTTTTAGTTTTTTTATACAGTTATATGAATATGAAATTTGGTACGTGTCATCTTCTCATTGGGGCGCAAAAATAAAAAATATTAAAAATAATTTCTCGATAAAATATAATGACCAAAATACCTCTTAAAATTTTCAAGGGTATTTTGATCATTTTATTTTATTGAAAACATTTTTTATATATATTTCGCTAGTGCGAGTTTAATAGAGGATTTGACGTCCAAAATTTGGTGTCAAAATAGTTTATAGAAGAAATATTAAAAATAAAATAGTGTAGAGACGTGATATTATATTTGGGGCAATCTTAGCCCTCCATTTACATTGGACGGTTGGATAAGAAGAAGTATATAAGTTTTATGCTGTAGGGGAAGCATAAAAAGCTTGCCCATATATAATATCATGTTGTATGTACATTAACCAACATGTTTCCTAGTGACAAAGGATTGTTTAATGTAGGGCTGGAAATGGACTGCGGTTGGCTAGGCGAGCCTTGGCCCTAGCCTGGTCCTAGCTCCCATAGGGCAAGTCTGAGCTCAGATTGGTTGAAAAAGTCATGGACTAAGCCCGACCCTAGCCCTATTAAGGCCAGACAATTTAGGTCAGCTTGAGCTAAGTACAATCAAAGAAAAAGCAAAGAAAAAAAAAAGAGTTGAACCAGGCCAGCTCAGTCATGGCCCTAGTTGAGGCCTAGCTCGCCTAGGCCCTCGAATCGTGGTGGCCCAAACCTAATCCGGCCCTTGGGCCATATTTTGTAACCTAGGTCAAAGCTAGGCACACGAAAATAGTCAAGACAATTTCACCTAGAACTATAGGTATACTGGGTCTAGTCAAGGGCTCTAGGCTAGGTTTGACGGGTACCCACACAAGACCGTTCAACTGTAGAGGCTGGGCTTTACTATTGCGGGTTTGTTTTGTGGTCAAGATTTCCCCAAAGGGGTGCCTGCTTTACTGTTGACGAATTGCCAATGTCCCTCAAACAAAATTAGGTTCCCGCACGATTTAAGTATCAGTATAGGGGGTTTTAGAGATTTTAAAGTTTTAGGTTATCTCTGAACGTGTGTGGTGTAAGTGGAGAATCAACACGCAATAACTGTGATCAAGCAGGGACGTCCAATAAACCTAATCAAATAGATAAAACAGAAAAGATAAAGATCTCAAATGAGTTTAATCTAATAAGATAAAGTCTAGAGTTCTAAGCTAAGCAGATAAGATTAAAACAGATAAAATAATAAGATCAAATCTACTCTAAACAAATAAGACAAAGAAAACCCAAGTCCTATCTCATTTTTACTTATTTATTTATTTATGTATTTATTGTTGGGTGCGGTTTCTATAGGGTTACAAACTTAAACAATCCAATTAAGGCGCACCTCAAAATTTTATCATAACATGTAAGTTTGTTGTAAAAAATTCTTAGGATTATCTTAAAATCTATTTTCATATCTAATTATAAAATTTTAAATTTTAAAAATGGTTAAAATCAAGTAGATCTATAAATATATGAAAATCTTGAAAATAGTCGGTCTAGATAATGTGTTGGAAGATGCACTATTCTGGGACTCAAAAACGTTTTTTTTCATATTCATACATCTCGATATCAAGATGATTGATTAGAGGGTTTTTCAACATTAAAACAACATTTCCGATAGATTTTTGAGGTGCATCTGTGATTCTACATTTTAAAGCTACAACTTTATATAAACTTGTTGTTGTTGTTGTTCGTTTGTTTCTATATAGTGCGACATGTGTCGTGTCACGCCGACTGACACATGCTGTATCGTGCTATTTTGCGCGACTCAGCCCTAGTTGCACCACGCAACTCGATCCGAGTCGGGCTTTCTAGAGCACCTTAGATCGAATTTTGAGGTCTTCTTCAGTTGTTTTCCAACATTTTTCAGCTTCTGTAATTTCTATTTTTTAAAAAAATTGCTACTGTAAATCTATAGAAGGCTTTTTATGGTCTAAATAGACGGTCTGAAGCTCGAGGGCCTCATGGTGGGAGCCAAATTGTTTACGCTCGGATTTATGTCTATCTCAAAGCGAGATCAACTCAAACCTCTTGCGGAATAAGTTAAATTTTAAAATCATCAGAGAGAGATCGCTCAAGTTATAGGCTCAAAATCATCGCAGATCTATGTCGATTTAGGTCTCTTCTAAGTCTACTGGTAGTGCCAGTTTCATAATCCGTTTATAGGCCTTCCAAAAGCATCTAAAATTTAACTAAATCTAAGAATAAAGAAATATCTAGAAAAATAATAAATAAAAAATAATAAAAAATAAATTAATAAATAAAAAAGAGAGACAAATATCATATGCCTAAGAAACGCAGAGTTGGGATAAACAAATATCATTAGCGGGGCACCAAAGTTTGGCCGATGAGCCAATAAGTCGCAATTCCAATCTATGGATTTCAGGTCTTTCCCTAGAGACGAGTCAAGGTCACCTAGATCTAATGCGACTACAGTTCGTTTGGTACATAGGGGTATCTCTTGCACATGCATACGCTTCACCCTGAAAGGTGACTTACTTGTTTTTCCGAACGATCTATCGATATGTATGTCGTGTGATGACATATGGATGATGATTTGACCCTCGTCTCTAAAGGCCACTATCACACACAAGGGTCACACAGTCTCTCGGCTCACTCATCCGGGCATATGCTTCGACCTCATCAAGCGATGACCAATTAGAACCCTTCTCGATTTGTTCTCTATACCCTGGTAACATATGTTTTTCCCAACAGAC